CCCCCCCCCCCCCCCCCCCCCATTTCTATACTGTCTACTCAGACAGTGTTATGAACGTACCTACTAAGAATATGTCTACAGCATGTCTTCAGGGGGACGACCCTTCTCATCTATATGTCACCCACACACTCTCATTTGTATGCACCAAACCCTGTCATAGGCAGTGAAGCCTCTCAATGCTCACCCTGACATCCATTCTCAAGACCTCTGTCTGGTGCATTGAGAATGGCCATGAGAGCCATCCTCAATGCCCAGTGGCTCCAGATTTGTCCTGTATGAGCAAGAGCAGGTGAGCAGGCCATGTTCAAGAGTGACCTTCTGTAGGAGTGCTGTGGACATGATGTAGACAGGTCTTTTATTTATTCATTTACTTATTTATGTATAAATACAATACTGAAAAAGGTGGTGGCTTGTACTCACATTTCATACTGGTGTAAACTTCTACAACAGATGCAGGGAAGTGGAGAACTGAGCCCTCATTCTCCAAAAATTGTGACTTATGGACTCCTGTAAAACTCTAGGTTCTGTGCTGGCTATAGTGTCCAATATAAAGCAATGCACCATGATCTGTATGTCTTTCAACCTGTCTGTGACAGTGTCATGTTCTGGGGTTGAAAGTTCATCTCTCAGTTTCACTTCACTGATCTACTTTATTAGTGGTGTAAAAGGAATAGTGTAGTGTAAGAGAACATGAAAATATCATATGTATGAAAGTTCCTGACCAGAAACCTTTAACGTATGGCCTTAAACACTGTTTCTTTAAATATAAAGCTAAATCAGATTCAAGCAGACAGTACACATGAGTAAACTGATTACTGCTCAAATAACACATTAGACTATTTGCGTGGGGAATATAATCATATTTGGATTAATCTTGGCTGTGTAGCTGCATCTGTTCCTTTTAGTCAAGCAAGTCTTTTAGGTGTAGTTACTAGCACCAGCCAAAACAAATTCATTATTTCTGTTCTCAAGAGTGTAGATCTGTAAAATACTGCTGGGAGACTTTTTGAAAGTTGGCATGTTATAAAAGGTCAGTGGGGCACTTAACTGCACTGGAATTGGGATTTATGTATGTGTATCAGATAAAAAGGTGCTGTCTGGCTGTCCCAAGATTAAAATAATTAAGTCCCTGTTTCAGCTTAGTGGGAGGCAAAGAATAAGGCTGGAGACGCGGAGCAGGAGTCAGGACTCTTAGATTTTACCGACTGATGTGTATGACTTGGGGAAAAATAATTTAAACTCTCTTCTTAAAAATAACTTACCATATTTTCTTGCATATATTACACCCAGGAATATAACATAGACCTTGCTTTTGAAAAGGCTGCATGAAGAGAAAAAGATCTTACCTAAAATAAGTAACTATGATTATGGCTCCTCTTTTATCTGCTGGTTTTATTACTATTTGGTGGTTAGATCTTAGAGATACTATAGATTTTTTACTAAAAATCATAGATTAAATATAATTGTTGGATTTATGATACATTATAACCTGCCTGACATCTGACTCCCCAGGTACTTCTCCACTATTCATCCCCCATCTCTCACCCACTGACTCCTCAATCTACACCTTCACTGACTGCCTATCTTGTATGCATACCAGCCCAGCCGCTGGGTTCTTTACTTTTGCATTCCATCCAGGAAGAGCACACACCAACTGATGAAACTTACTTAGACTGACAAAGGGTTTTTGAACCCAAAAGCTTGCTTAAAAA